GTCTGTGTGTGTGTGTGTGTGTGGAGCAATAAAAAAGAAACAGAATTTTAAATTAGAAAATATTAGTTAGCCAAAAGAGAAGGCACACAAGAGCCTCAAATCTCTAACGGTATCTCAACGAATGTACAGTTATGTATTTGCATATACTGGCTCTCTCTTCTTCTTCTTGTCTTCTCCTTGTTTTGTATGTGTGTGTGTGTGTGTTTTTTATTTGTGTGCAGACAGGATCCCCATATCATCGCCCCCTCTCTTTCAGCATCAATACATCATTTTCGTCTTTTCTCTTTCACTTTGTGTGTGTGTGTGTGTATGTGTGCGAGTGGTTATTCCTCTGTGTGTGTGTGTGTTGATTTTATGCCACTCTTTTCATTTTTTTGGTTTTTTGTTGCAGTTTTATTTATTTTTTTTCGAGGTGGGGTTTGAACTCTTTCCTTCTGTGTGTGTGTTTTGGGTATTTTTTGTTTAATATTTAAATAAATAATTAGCAAAAAGGGATATATATGGACATGTGTGTGTGTGTGTGTTTCCCACACCCCCAAAAACCGCCTCTGTGTGCGTTGCTAATGATGTTTGAAATTGTAAAGCAAATGCAAAGGCATGCCCCGAATCTGAAGAATATTATGGGGGAATCCAGTTTGGGGGCATTCAGCTGGAGTTCCTCGAGTATTTAGTCGAAAAGCAGCCCGAGCAATTAATGGATAACAGTTGAGCTGCTTAAATGCAAGGATTATTAAATTGGAGCTGGGACGAAGGAGGATTTTTTTTGGGGATTCAAAGAGTTCAGATTTGTATACAGCGAAGGAATAAAAATTAGCTTGAACTAAACAACTTTTTTAAAGTCTTATATTGAGTAGTATAACATTTAAAACTACGATTATTGATGTGTATTTTTCATATTTCCACCATTTCGATTTCTCGAATCATCTGTCACACTCATTTGCCTATCATGTGTGTGCCCCATTTATGCTGTCGTATTTATACATACCCTATATTCATTTATAGATATATATCCTTATTTTAGCATTTGTGGCTGTCAAAGCGTAAGCTTAACCTCCATTTTCTATTTTTTTTCTTGACCCCCCTCCCTTTGTCAGCGCCTAATGTCAGGCTACAATAATTTTTCGCTCTCATTACACAGACACACATATGTATCTATTTTTAACCCCTTGTAGCCAGCCATCTTCTACTTTTTCTAGAGCTTTATCTTTGGCTTGTGCTGTTTAATGTGTGTGTAATTGTGAAAAACGCTTTGGGTTCGTCGTCGTCTTCTTTTTTTTTATGGGGATTGGGGGCATAGCCTTTTCCCCATGACAGCCTGTCATGTCATGTAGGCGTTTAAGTGGTAGTCATGGGTTAAGGGAGAATCTTTTGAGAGTCCTTCGACTTTCGCAGCTAACTAGAATGTTAGAAAATACAGGCTTCAAAGGAGTAACGGCGTGTGCCACCTCTAACCTCCACCCCCCCCTCTCCATCATTTGTTGTTGCATTGATTTGCTTTGATTTATTGTCCAAAAACCGCACAATGCAGCCTCGCGTGTTAACCCTTTCCCAACTCTTCTGGACAACAACAGGGGGTTGATATGTGCCCCCTCTGGAAAATCAGAAAACCAGAATAAGAACAAGATGAAGGCACTCGAGCTTAAGTTGAAGCACAATTCATAACATTGCCTTCGTACTAATTACAAAAAGTGCTCGCAACCCAGCCTCCCTTGAAAAAGTGCCGTGCGGGGAATGGTGAATGTTGAAATTCAGTAAAATCCAGTGAAATCCAGAGGTCCCGAAGTCCTGACAGCAGCTGCTACTGCTCCTTGCCAAAGAGAGTGAAGAATTCCCCGTTCGCGGGTCTTGAGGCAAGCTCACTTCAGACAAACAGCTTGAGACAATGCCGCATGCTGCAACTTCAGAGGGTGTGGAGAAAATGGGAGGCAGCGGGGGGAGTGGGGTTTTTGGCGAATGAGTTGACATGTGCCAAGCACACGACAATTGCGAGCAAACAACTCAAACACACACACGACACGGGTACGAAAGAAAAAAAATCCCAAAAGAATACAATATAAATAAAATACAGAATCAGAATCAGAAACAGAAACAGGCGCTCGAAATGGAATAAGGACTTTCAAGTTGGACTTGCCAATAGTTGATACAATTGCAGTCTGAGAACGAAACAAATGAGCCATAGAATTGGCAGTTTCATGGGGAAAAACAAAAGATATTAATTTGAAAATATATTGAATTCAATCCTATAGAATTGCCTGAAAAATCTGCAATAGCTTGTGTGATATATATTTTATTAATGCCATCCATAACCATTCCCAATTTGAATTCTAGTATGAATGGAATTTTAACAGACCTTTGGACAAGGGACTAACATTTCACTTAACATTTTTGGTTCGCGCGCAAGAGGTTTTACCCGTTTTCGTGTACGTTTTGATATATATATATACTTTTTTTTTTTGGAAAAATCTCCTTTGAAGTGGCAACCGGCAAAATATTAAATGAAACCCAAAAATAAAAGGGGAGCCGGGGCTGCGCTAAAAGGGTGCTCAATACGGAAATACGAAAAGCCTTGCCTTACCATAAGCTGACCACACACACGGGCCAAAAGGACGAGGCTGAGGACGAGGGGCCATTGAAGTGGGCAGAGCCCCCAAAAACAGAAAAAAAAAACAAAACGAAACCCTCTCCAACTTGCAAAAAAAAAAAAACAAAAAAATAAAAACCAAAAAAATGCCCGGCAAAGCCACCCGCATTTTAGTTAATTAACTCATTTGGTTGGCAACTGCTGCTAAGCCGAACTCGAAATGGGCCAGAATCGTTGGCCTGCCTGGCATTAATTGATTTGCCCAGGGATGCTGACGTTCCAAGAAACTATTTTCACGAGGTGGAAAAACTGGACACCAACAGGTGCTGGCTTTCCCACGGGGATTGCGTTTCAGTGATCGATTTTGGTCCTCTGGTCTGGTCGGTCCAGCAAAAAGTCAGCGAAAGAAATGGAAATGGAAATGGCAATGGAAGCCGGGAATCAAAATGAAAATGAAAACGGAAAAGTATCCCTCTGCCTCTTGGCCATTATGAAAACAATTTTCAAGCTTAAGCAGCTCACGGGAAACGGCAGCCGAGGTCTTAAAACAGAGCAACCACTGAACCACCGAGAGAGAGCCACCCAAACCACCCAGACCGCCCAACCACCCACTTTCCAGCTGTCTGCCTGTGTGTCTGGCATTCGAAAAGGATGTCGGACGCAAAGGACGAAGGACAAAACTGCAGCTCTCTTCCCAGGAGCGCCCAACCACTTGTCTGTTGTTTGTACTTAAGAGCTTTTAAATATCATAAATATATATCTATGAGGAGAGTGGACCCACAACAACCCCCCTCCCCCATCGTAATGAGGATGATGATGTTGACAAATATGCCTGGCAGGGCAAGAAAAATGATTTGCTTTTTGCTTTTCCCAGGCATACTGTCATTAAGCGTACTGAAAATCATCGAATGTCGAACACCGTGGGTTGAGTCACAGCTATTAGGGGAAGTTTTGCACACAGAGGAAGAGATTCTACACATATTCATACCCTTGATTCTAACAAATTGTATGATTATTGCCAGAAAACGTAGTTTTTAGATATTTTCCCAAGTGATTATGTGCCTTGGCAACTTTAATCATACTTGAATTGCTTTAATATCGAATCCACAACCTATCTAGCGCCATTTGCCCATTTCTACACTCTGTGTAACGACTTCCTGCTTAACTTTATTCGAAAATCGGAGAAGGGCCAAAGGAATCAGGGACCTTCATCGATATGAAGTAGAACTTGGCCAAGAACCGGGCAAAGGCTTAAAACTCACACCAATGGTATAGTAGTTTTTGGTTTGCCCATCGACTAATTTCCAAAGTTCTTTATTGCCTGCAACGCCCACTGAAGTCCTGCTTTTTTTGCTAGCTTCCGGTATTTATACAAATAAAATTGCACAAAAACCCGAATCCGAATCCGAACCGAACCAACAAGTACAAATCAACGGAAAATCGAAGCAAAAGTCATTGCCATTTGCTGCTTGGGCTTAGGCAAAACGGAATGGAAGCCTTAAAACTTGGGGGAAATCCTGATTCTGGTCTGGGTCCCAGACTAATTTGCCAAAAAAGTTTGCACCGCATATTTTTGTAACCTTCTTCTTCGGCAGTTCTCTGCTATATATATTTTTTTTATTTTGTTTTTAGCCCAATGGCTTCTGTTTTGTTGTTTTAATTTCTCATTTGGCATTTGAATCCGGAGAAGAGACGAACCCAAAACACCCACCCATCGAAGGTCAGGTCACTAATAGCAGGGAAAATTTTCAAGTTGGGCTTATCGATACCAACGATAAACTATAAATTTGTTGGTCCTGGCTCTAGATCCTTGCCGTTGTTGTTGTTGCTGGGTTTTTTGGTTGCTAATGCAGACGGAAATACCCCGGAATGTTTTTTAAGCCTTCCGTCTGACTCCTTTTGGCCTATTTGGTTTGTGTGTTTGCGAGTGTTTTGCTGCTCTGGTGCTTTGGCATTTTCGGGGCCGACAAAAGTTTTTGCAACGTATTAATTTGGCTAAATTTAACCCGTAATGACTTTAAAAGTAAAATTAATGAGGGTCGATAGTTGGCTGAGGCTGATGGGAAATGAGAGGAAGGCGGGGCGGTGTAAACTTTTTGCTTTTTGTTCGTGCCAAAAGCAACATATGTGCCTGACACTGCTGCTTAGCTTCTAAAGGGGTGATGGTTCTTTGAGGTCTCATGGAAAATATATCAAAATCAGTTTGTGTGATTAGATGTATAAAATAATTAAATTAAACTTATTAATTTGATGGTAAAAAGTAAATATATATGGGCAAAGCAAACATTCTCAGTGTACGTAGTGGTCTCGAAACTAAACAAATGGCAAAAAACTAATGAGAACTCTTAAATTATTTATTTTGATACAAATTTAAATCCATAATTAATAATTTTATTTGAAAAATTTCTATATATTGCAGCGCGCCACTCTGGCCGAGAAGGAAGTGAACACACTCAAAGAGCAGCTATCCACCGGCAATCCCGAGAGCAACCTCAGCAGCGACAACAGCGACACAGCAGCAGCGGCAGCAGTTGTTGCAGGTGCAACAGCAACCAACGACAGCGAGGAGGAGCAGCAGCAACAGCAGGCGGGTATCGGCGGCATATTGGAGAGCGACAGCGACAAGCTGCTGAACAGCTCCATTGTTGCAGCGGCCATAACGCTGCAGCAGCAGAACGGCAGCAATCTGCTGGCGAACACAAATACGCCGTCGCCCTCGCCGCCGTTGCTCAGCGCCGAGCAGCAGCAGCAGTTGCAGAGCGGTTTGCAACAGAGCGGCGGTGTCGGTGGTGTCGGCGCCTGCCTCAACCCGAAGCTCTTCTTCAACCACGCCCAGCAGATGATGATGATGGAGGCGGCAGCTGCGGCAGCAGCGGCGGCATTGCAACAACAGCAGCAACAGCAATCGCCGTTGCATTCGCCGGCGAACGAAGTTGCAATAGCCACAGAACAGCCAGAAGTTGCAGTTGCAGCAGCAGCAGCAGCAGCAGCAGCTCCAGTTGCCACTAGCAACATCAAGAGCGGCAGCAACAGCAGCAGCATCAATCACACCGGCAACAATAGCAGTCAGCAGGACGAGGAGGAACTGGACGAGGATGAGGAGGACGAGGAGGAGGACGAGGACGAGGACGATGAGGAGGAGAATGCCTCGATGCAATCGAACGCTGATGATATGGAGCTGGATGCACCGCAAGAAACCAGAACTGAGCCGAGTGCAACAACCCAACAGCAGCAGCAGCAGCAGCAGGATACAGATCTTGAGGAGCCCAAGGATGCGGGGGAGGCTAGTTTAAATGTTAGCAATAATCATACAACCGATAGCAATAATAGTTGTAGTCGAAAGAACAACAATGGCGGCAATGAGAGTGAGCAACATGTGGCCAATTCGGCTGAGGACGATGATTGCGCCAACAACAACACAAATACCAGCAATAACAACAACACCACCAGCAACACAGCCACCAGCAACACCAACAACAATAACAACAACAACAACAACAGCAGCAGCGGCAACAGCGAGAAGCGCAAGAAGAAGAACAATAACAACAACAATGGCCAGCCTGCTGTTTTATTAGCTGCCAAAGATAAAGAGGTAAGTTTCTGCTAACCGGAAGTTAAGAGTTACAAAGAAAATGTTAACCTAGGTTATCCTAGTAAATTTCAACTATTAGATCGACGGGATATAAGCTGTTAAGTTGCCACTTATCTAGACTGTCAAAGTTAGATGCTTTAATATCTGAAAGTATATTAAACATAGTTTAACCAGAGGTTAGGTTGTGATAGGGATTGCTTATATCATGGTGTTAAATCAAAGTCCTTCTGTTAAATAGTACTCACAAGATAGCTTGGAAATTCAAATTGATTTTAGACTTGAATAAGACTACTTCAAATGTTAATATACATTTAACTACGGATCAGCCTAAAAGTTAACCAGTTGTTTAAAGCTCTTCGCAAATAGGCTTTAAGTTAAAGTGGCGTTTTGAACCCTGTTGTTAGCCCAAGTACCATGGATTAAGCACAACCCCATGAACATCAAACTGCTACTGTCTGCCCAGGGAAAAATAAAACCAAACTTTAAGTGACTTTTTAATTTAATAAACTGTAGCGGACTAAGGTCGAATATCCTTGAAATAAGCAACCCACCCACCGACAGACAATTACCCAGCGCAATGAAATGTAAAACCGTTAAGATTAGACAAACGTCGCCACCCACACCGGAATTTCGGAATGTGCGAGTGTGTTTTGGGGCAAAAGGATGCCATCGGTTGCCAAAAGGAGTGAAAGAAGCGTAAAAAAGTAGCAGGATAGCCAAGGAGAGGAATTTCAACCGCAGACGACGACGCACGACTGACCGACCGCCGCCAACCCAAACCAGTACGCACAATTGAGAAAACACTTGCACAAATAAACAAAACCCCACCCCCCGGCCCGCTTTTCCACCCACTCTCGGCCACTTTTCTTGTAATTTTCTAGCCAAACAAAAAAAATGTTGCCCGAGTACGGCGAAACCGAGACCGGGAAAAAATAGAAAACAAAAATTCCAAAAAAAAAGAAGTAAAATACAAGGCAAACAAATGAGCTGCGGGACTTTTGACTTCTTCTTTACACGCCCAAGAACAAGAAGAAGCGGCAAAAAGGGACAAACAGGCAAAAAATAAGCGAAAAAAAACATACAGCCAGGGATTTGAGCCTTTTTCCCTGGGACAGGAAAATCAACCCAACATCAAGCCAAGGGAAAAAGTTAGAAGGAAACTTTTGCGGCAAGCAAAATGAGGGTGGGGGGGGTGGTTTGGTGTTCCAAGGACAAGGACTAAAAACAGGGGGTGTAAAGTGATATCATTAAAATATTGACAAGACAATTTTTACGCCTACAAATTTGTTGAATGCCTTTGTTTACACAGCACCAGATGAAAAGGGATGGGAAGGAAATTAGGGAGATAGTATACCATTGGATTTTAAGTGGGTTTGCAATGGAAAATATACAATATATATAGTAGATTCAAGTTCAGAAACAGTATTTTCTAAATTGAAATAACGTTTTATAAGTCCAAAGAAATCCCCCAGAAACCAGCAAGATAAAAACCTACCAATTTCCCTAATGCAAAAATAAGAAATAATCTTCCCTGGTTTGCATTCTTTCTTTACGTAACACACACCGCATTGAATGATTGCTTATCCAAAAAAAAAAAAAAAAAAAAAAAAAACAACCCGTGGAAAGCTTTGACTTGAAGTGTTTCGTTGTGGCTTTTTGTGCTGATTTGAAGATGTGCACACGGGAGTGTGGAGCATTGCATTTTAGCATCAATCATTATCATTTGCCATTAAGTGCAACGGCAGCAGCTTCTTTTCCATTAGCAACCCCTAGGTGGTACTGAAAAGAAAGGAGAGCAAAAAAAAAGTGGGAAAAGAAGCGCATTTCTTTAATGTTTTATCACTTCACTTGGCCAGACACCAAGCCACCCAACCACCCATCCACTGCCTTAGGTTGGATTTTCACAGGGGGGGTTCGGTTTTGGGAATCAGTGGGGTTTTTGGGGATAAAATAGAAGCAAGGCATTCAATTTATTTCTTGTGAATAAATGTGTTTCCAAAAACAAATGATTGCTTGCCCCCTTTCGGCACCACTGTCCTTCTCCACAACCCCCCTTTTGCGCGACTTTGGCTTTTAGCCCGCGTTTTCCCTGCGTTTTGTGCGCGTTTTCTTATTTGAAATCCATTAAAAGCTATTTTGGCCGACTGTTGGTGGGCCCAAGCTCATTAGTTTGATTACTGGCGCCCGGGCGACACCTCACCACCCCCCACCCTCTCAAAAAACCCCCCATTCGATGCAACACCCACCACCACCCCCCCCAAACCGTCGACCATGCACAGCTGTGATAAATGCACTCGACTGACAACTAAATCACTTATGAACGCTGCTGTGTGCGTAGATTCAGATTTATCTGTTACACATGTTCATAAATATGCGACAATATTTTTTTGTCCTCGAAGCGGCAGCCAAAGATGATCGACAGGAATATAAACGGAGAGGCCCTGGGATATATCTACAGTTGTGGCCAAAATATTGGTGGTGTTTTTGGAAAGGAATATTGAAATCTAGGGGAATTTTTTTAAAAACACTCGATGGAAATATCTGATTTGTTAGTTAAGTTTGTAAAAAATAAGAAATACGTATTATTCTTTTTTCACTACCACCATATTATGTTAAGCACAGCTGTCTGTGGCGCGAATTTTTGCACAGAAAACATGTTAAATGGAATTGCAACAGTTGTTTGTTGTTAGAGTCGGAGTGCAGCAGCTCCTCGTTTTGCTGTGCGTTTGTTTTGGCTATGAGGCATGTGTTTATTTTTTCGCAGAAGTGCATTTTTATAGACAAAGTGCTTTGGGCCGCGTCTCGCTTCCAAAAATAAAACGCAACAAAAAATAATCAAAAAAACAAAAAGAGGAGAAATATTAAACGCTTCTTGACAGGGCAAACAAATGAACAACAAATTAGCAGCAAGTCAGCCAGGGCAGCTTCCGCTTATATTTTGTTTTGTTACTAATACTAATCACATATTATTTTCAAACACAAACGACACGTTCGGTGGCACTTTGTTTAAAACATTTTTTTTATCACACGCGGCAAACAAAAACAAACAGCATATGCGGAAAAAACCAGCGGAATACAAGAAATGTATTTATTAAATAACAAATTCAACCGCATCTGTATGTCGCGATTTCGCTTTTTTTTATCTGCCTCTACAAAAAATGTGTACATATATATATATATATATATTTATAGAATTTCTTTATCGAAGTATTTCAGCATATTTATTTTATGCACAACAAAAACAATGACGGAAAAAAATGCCAAGCCCCAAAACGAAATCAATTTTTTATGGACTTTGTTTTGCGGCTAGATTTAGCTGTTTATCCTAACACTAGGGAGTTGAAAAAAAAATATAACAAAAATATATCTGATTAGGAGTGAAAAAAAGCCACAAAAATTTCTGGAGTGGCCCATTAATAGGAAGTCATTGATAAGTCTGTGGTTTCATTCTCCCAGCATTTGATTAGCTTTAAATAAATATTTATGAAAAATATAAAAAGTGTTTACATTATATATTATAGAAATAATTATATTTGAGTTGTAAAAACAAGCAAATAAATTATTTTAATACCAAGAAATACCTAGAACTATTTCCAAAAAATATGACTGATAAGAAAATACCGATTACCGAGCACCCAATTTTCAGTCCCGCATCTCGTCAACAGCAATCCATTGACCAGCATAAAACCGACAGCTCGGGCCAGAGATAGATAATCGGTTTAGAAATAATAGAAATAATCATAATTTTTCATGCACAAAATTCGATTTGTGCTTATCATCGCGTGACTGCGATCCCCATTTAATTCGATCCCACGATGGGCACCCAAAAATTATTATTATAACTCTCGCATTGACTGATGGCTTTCTCGCCTAATTGGCATTGGAGTAGATGTTTTGCACCCATATATGCCGATATATACCAATTTGCTTGGCCAGACCGTCTGCGTCAGAGTAAAAAACCCCGAAAGGGTTGGCCGCGAACTCATATATTGTACGTGCCACAGTTTGGCTGACAGACCCAAATATTTGGATACACGCTCCAGGCCAAAGACAATGATAGTGTTATTTTTAAATGCGAATCGAGCGGAAAATCCATCAAATGTCTAACGCAAATGGTCTAAAATTAAACCCAGCCGTCAAATTTAGCATGCCATAAAAGCAGATCAACTGTTTAAACAACTCATCGATTCGATCCCCAAAATAATATTTGTCAACTCTCGCTCATTTCTCTCCTTCTATCTCTCTTTTTCTAATCAAACAACATTTTTGAATAGCTAATCTTTGATTCAAGGCAAGAGCTCAATTATTTTAGATTTATTAATTTGATTCTCATTAGGTTTATTTGTTGTTTTTTGCACTTGTCAAATGTTCGAAATTGAAACGAAGCAAAACCAAATTATTGGCGATTATTCGAATTTAGTATGAGTTATTATGCCAATCGAAGCTAAAGTTTGACTACAATATTTTCGGTGCGCTCCACAAAATAATGAAACGGGTGAGGGTTGAAATATACTCGAATGTATATATGTATATATATACAATTTACGTATCGGATTAGTGGCTTAGTTATTGAAATGGTCTCTCCACTTGTCATTAGTCTCAATTCGAACACAAAAACGAACGAACTGAAATGTACAAAAAGACATACGGCGAATAATAAATAATAATAATGCAAATACAAATACAAGCCGCACAATTGCAATTATTCAATTCAAATCAATCAGCACACGAATACCATGGCACATGGATTTTACTGGAGACATTGAGCTTAGTTTAGGACTACTACTCTGCCTGCAATGATTGCTGCTGAATGTTGGATGTTGCTGCTGTGTGTTGCTGTTGCTGCTGCTGCTGCTGTTGCTGCTGCTGCTGCTGCTGTTGTGCTTATCGTGACTGTTGTTGCCTTTTGTATTTGCTGATTAAAGTGAAAAACAGTCATTATCGTGTACAGTGGCTTAGGCAGAAAGGGGTTCTTGACAAATCAATTTAGCATTAGTTGT